AGTGTAAGGCAGTGCAATTAAAAAATGTATTACAGTCTGGTTAGTCAGAAACCTGGTTCGTCAAAAATCAGCCCAGTAGGCTATTTTATAGAAAGCAGCTGAGTGGGTGGTAATCTCCCACCCACTTCTGGCAACCTTATGATGGGCTCCCAATCTCCCGGCTATAATTGTATCAATCATGACTCTCAAAAGAATCTGGGATCCCTATCACTTTCCATCTAGGACTAAAAAGCACATCTATTAGTTCAGTCCAGTCTACCTAGAAATACCCAAGAATGCTTGGATCACTCTATTGTTGGACCTCAATTCTTGGGGAAAAATTTTTTTCTCTCAAGATGAGTTCAAGTTTGCCTTCCTCCCCACATCCACCATGATTTCCATGAATTGGCTTTAGTGTTAGTTACTGGAATAACACATCCTTCAGAAAAGCTGGGTAACAAGGAAAAAAAATATCTGCTTGAAACCATCAGATAACTAAGGTAGCCAAGACATGAAGACTGGAGAGAAGCTGTGATAGTCTAGTTTTATGTCAACTTGGCTAGGTTACAGATCTAGTTATTCAATCAAACAATCTAGATGTTACTGTGAAGGTATTTGGTAGATATGATTAAAATCTATACTTACTTTAAGAAAGGGAGATTATCCTAGATACTTTGGGAGGGCCTGATTCAATCAACAGAAAGGCTTTAAGAAAAGAACTGAGTTTCTCAGATAAAGAAATTCAATTGTGGTCTACAGCTTCAACTCCTGCCTAAGCATTCCAACCTGCCTTCTAATGGCCTAGCCCAGTCCCCACAATCATATAAGCCAATTCCCTGCCATAAATATCTTTGTGTGCGTTTAACTATATACAAGATTATATATATTACATTATTCTGACATATACATAGAACTATAACACTTAATTGAAACCTTTCCATAAAGAAAACTCCAGGATCAAATGGCTTAACTAGGAAATTCATCGATACCTTTAAGGGAAAAATTACATCAATCTTATATAAACTCTACCAGAGGATAGAAAAGGAGGGACTATTTCCCAATTCCGAAAAGGACTATTTCCCAATTCATTTTCTGAGACCACTTTCTCTCATGAATGTAAGCATGAAAATCCTAAATACATTATTAAGAAATCGAATCCAGATACATAAAAATGATAATACATTATGAAAAAGGTTGGTTTAACATTCTAGAATCAATTAAAATAATTACCACATTAAAAGACTAAAAAGAAATATATTTTAGCATAATAACTAAAATAACATGAAAGAGTACTGATATATTAGGTTTTAAAAAGGGCAGTTTAAAACAATATATTCATTGAAAAAAGATAGAAAATAATTATCTCCCTTAATTCTATGCTACTAAGTGATTTTTTAAAAAATCATGTTTTATTGAATATTCCAAAGTCTGTAAAATGAGTATTACTTTTAAAATGAGAAAAAAAGGAAAATGTATCTCTAAAAAGAGGAAGCTCTTCAAGAAAATGCTGAAATTTTTTTTAAAGCTTAGAACAGTTTAGGAGAAAATTTTAAAAGTTCAAAGTGAAAATGATGTCACTACATATTAGATTTTAACATTTTCCCATCTGGATTAAAAAAGAAATGCCTACCAGACAAATTTGGAATTTAGGTTAAATATATGAAAATACCTTTTCAAGCAGATTATTAAATATGGTAACAGGATATTCTTGATAGCTTTCAGTCCAACGCAATGACTTAGTGAGGCATGGTGTGTTTCTTAGGGTACTCAACAGCAAGCCTGGTTCTAAGTAGCAGGTGCAAATAGGATAGGTAGGGAGGCACAGGACAAAGGATGCTGCTTGGGCCCTAGGGCACAAGAGCTCAACAATTAAGGGCAATGGAGTGCTCAGATTACCTGGCATATAATTCCCTAAAAAGGTTGCTATGATGAGTAACTATCCAACCTAGTAAACCCAGGAGGTAGAATCTGAACCCAAGAATGACTGACTCCAGAGCCCACAATCTTAACCACTACCAAATGAAATATAATAAGGAAACTATTGAGTATAAATCTTAATGGCTTCAGAGGAGGTAAACTTCAGTTTCAACACTAGCCTGCCACTTACTATGACTTTGGGCAAGAGTAAGCTCTTACGTCTTCAATTCCTCAGCTATCAAATGGAGAGAAGTAAATGAGGTAGTGGCATTTAGTACAGTGCCTGGTACATAATAAGGTCTACTGATTATTAAGCCCTTAGTATTTTTAATTCTACTTTCACGAATATACAAGAACAATCCAACAATGTCTAATTTGGGGACTCCAAGAAAAATATCAAAAGATTCTTTTTTCATCCGTATTTCTTTCTGTCCTACATTCCAGAAATAAATACTATTCCAATAATATAATTTCCCCTAAGAATGTAAGAATGTAAGAATCAGATTATTAGTTAGATCTATCATATATTGTTTCCCAGAAATAACTAATAACTTTGGTAAATACAGCAGTATAATTATGTGACAACTTCAAAAGAGTCTAGACATTGTTCAAACATCTAACATCTAATGAGAATTCACTAATGTACTTATAACTTTCAATGAATTTTTTAAAATAGTGAATTTATGGCATCTCTTGGGATTAAAAGATAACTATGTTTGCTCTTATTTGCCCTTTTACTGCTTATTTCAAGCTTCAGAGTTCCTTATTTTAGTACTCCACTCTTAATGATTCATATGCTTAGCCCACATTGTCCTTCAATCTCCATTTTTCCAGAAAATACCACCTTTGTAGTCACGTGAATATCTCTCCATTTTCTCCATCTACTTACAACTGAATTTCTCTGGACCTTTTTCATTTTTGAAACATTTTTTCTTGAGATGATTTAGTGTGAAGAACACTGGGCTATGAGCTAGAAGCCCTCACTCTGCCACCTCATCTCTCAGATTCTTTATCCGAAAGATGAGAGGATTGTACTAGACAAATTTGGAATAGGTTCCTTTATCTCTCTAAGCCCACATCTCCGTGACTCTGAGTCTTCCAATGGAAATCATTCATTAGCCTGCCTAAACTGTTGGTCATGGATGAGCAGGCATGTTCAGATTCAGGGGCAAAGGAAGACACAATAATCAGGACGTCCAGGGCTACAGAAGGAAAGACATGACGTTTTGTGAATTAACAGGAAGAGATCGATCAATGAGATTATCGGACACCAAAAAGATACCAAAAACAGAAAAAAAGTCAAATACATAGCCAGACTCTAATCTCATCCCTACACATCCATTTTAAGAGGGACCAGAAATAGGAAAAGCTTTTGGCAGCGTAAGTTATCCAGCCCTCACTTCTGCTTCAAGGGAGAGATGCAAGTCTGTGCCATCTTTGTAATGCTGTTGCTAACGCCTACAGAGCGCTTTGTACCGAACAGGCATTACTGGGATAACTGATTACTGAATTAATGTTCAGCTGAACGGAAAGCCTTCATAAATGCTACTGGTACTGCTACATCCCAGGAATTCTGAAAGCACAAGGCCATGGAAATTACATGGCACTAGATGTCCTGGTTCCATGAGAAAGGAGACTTAAGTTAGTTGGGAGGAGGGGATTTGGCAAAATGGCTTTAAGCTCTAAGGATACTGGAAGCGGCCCCAAGAAGGAAAAAGGACAGGTTAATAGGCACAAGCTATCTCTAAACCACCAAGGCAAACGCCAGAATATGTATGGAAGTCATTTCCTACCCGTTGTCAGAGTTTAAGAAAGCACTATCTTTTCTGAAGTTTCTCTCCCAGAGTAGAACTTCTTGGCTCATGCCTGGGTAAGGGGGCAGAGGAGAGCGAATCAACAGTGTCAAGTGAGCTGGGCTAGTCTAAAAAGTCTCAGGCCAGCCCTCTGGGTGGTGTTTCTCAGAGTGTGATCCCTGAATCATCAATAACAGACCAAGGGAGAGTGCGCTTGCTTAACATGCAGACTCGGACACCCATCACAGATCTCTAGAATCAAATTCCTGGGAGCATTACTGGCATTCTTAAGGAGCAAACTTAATGTGTGAACACTACTGCCCCAGAATTTTTTTGGGGGGGTGGGAGGGTGGGCAGTGGTTGGAGGAGGTGAGGATGAAGTTCTTTGACTCTGGATTCATCATATTCGACTGATACTACTACAACACTTTGGGGAATCATCGAAAAAACACCTTAATTTCTCAGCTAACAACTGCAGCTACCTGTTTAACAGCTAACACGGGCACAATCACAGGGCCTGGAAAATGGGTTTTCATAAACTGGTTAAACAGTTCCTCCACAGCCTTGTTTATCCTGTTCACTTGTTCACCGGTTTTTTGTTTAAAAATAAATCGGTTCAACCCAGTTGTTTTCAGAAAGAATCACACATTCCAAAGTAGAAGAGGTTTTGATAGGGCGAACTAAGCTTGTAAACGTGAAGACGCTGCCTGCTTTCAAAAGTAAGGTTTCATTTAAAAGAAAATTACCGGTTCAGGCCTTCCCCAGATCTCAAAGCCACTGATGAAAACTAGTTATTTGTGGGTGGCAGAGAAAGACTTTCAAGCAGGGGTGAAAAGAGCGAGCACAACGCACTCTGCTCCCGACAGAGTTTAGGAGTAAGTCCGATCAACTACATAATATTCTAATGAATTCAGCTAATTGCCAGAAAAAAAAAAAACTGTCTGCAAGCCTTTTGTGAAGAAACATTCCAGGGTTCTCGCCGTTTCTGTTCAGGCGCGAGCGTACACCAAAGGCCTGCAGCGTAAGTTACACTGCGGCTGGACCCCGCGACTATGTTTACAATTTCCATATAAGGAGGTCCCCCCTTCCCGGATCATCAGACTTTATCTTCGGCACGAAAACTGGCGCCCAGAGCCCCCGTTCTGCCCTTCTTCCTCGCGATGGTTTTGGTCGCGCGGCATTTCCACGGGGTCCGACCCTGCGGGCGTCCCGAGATGCCCCCCAGACACGGGCAAATTTCCGGGCCAAGCTCGCAGCCACACTCGCCCTGCGGGGTCTCCGCGCCTGAACCCGTCGCGTGCAGCCACTTACCTGCCGCGCTGTCACGTTCGGGGCCCGAATCCGCCTGGGAGGCGCGCTGTGCGCTGCGAGTAGCCGCCGCCGGGACCTGCTGTGCCGCAGCGGCGCGCCCCCCACCCTGGCCGGCGCGGCCACGCGGCTGAGTCACCTGGAGCTTCACGATAAGAGTCCCCACGACGCGCGGGGCACGCCGGGAAGGCCGGGATCCGCCGGCCACTGGGTGTCCGGTTTCCTTCCCCGCTAGGCCCACCCGCCCAAAGGAGGACGCTCTCCCGTCTCCCCAGCCAGGGTGGATTGGATTTCTGAGCTGCGGATACCCTCTTTCAATTATTAAAGGTATAAAACGAAAAAGTTGTTTGTCTGGATTGAAGATAAGCTCGCGCAGTCCCAGGACAGTAATGCTTATGGAAAATTGTGGAGCCCCAATCTCTGTACATCTTGGGGAAGAAGGCAGTAAGAATAATGGAGCTTCGTAAACGTATTTTGCTTGGACGCCCTTGTTCTGGGTATGCATTCTGACCAAAAGAAAAGAGGAAAAAAACATTTTTCTCAAACCCTGAGCTTAATGAAACTACATGCTATAGCAAACAAAGTTACAAATGTTAAATCAACTGGAAACAAATTATTGGAAAACTGAATGTGTTATAAATAAAATATTCCAACACTCAAAATTACCTGTGTATGGTCCATGTCCTATAAAATGAATGCTGGAAACAGAAAGATAACATTAGTCATACTGTCATGATTTCTAGTGGCTTTTGTACTTTTAAAATTTATACTAAAAATGTTACACTGATTTATACAAACTATTCTATTTTAAAATTGTTGAAAATCATCTAAGTTTATAATGGCATGATTTCTTAAATTCTGAGTCAACTTTTCCCCTACAGAAGAATCTCTAGAAGCTAAACTGGGGTTGAGGATTGGGATTAGAATTGAAAGGGAAGAAATAGGAGAAAACAAACTCTCATTCCAATAGTTTACAAATGGTTGCTGGATACTTGTATAGCAAAATTGCACTAACAGGGTCAACAATTTTAATTTTGAAAACTGAAGCTATAAATTTTTTCATTATAAATTTTAGAGATCCAGGAGGTCGTTTCTACTTCGGATGTTTGCAAGCATCCCATACTGTGGAGGGGCAGCGCACCTCCACGTGGTGTCTCAGCGGTACCAGCTGCTGCCTTTCTGGCTTTGCTAGTCCAACACTAACTAGGTTCCACGTCAGGGATGGCAGAGGAGCTAGACTGGAGAATCCTGCAAGAGTTTTTCTTTGCCTCCTGCGGAAGTGAGCCTTTCACTTCTGACATTTCTTTGGCCTGAACTAGTCATGTGGCCCAACCTGACTGATCCTTAAGAAGGCTGTAAGATATAACTTCCTGTGAACCCCGGGGAAAGGAGTATGAAAAAAGATTTGGTGAACACATAGCTTTGTCTCTGTCACAGTATTCAATAGTAAAAATAAATGCAAACCAATGTTAGTGAGTGTTCTAGGATCCATACTAGGATCCATACTTTACAATCAAAGTGATATAGAGGATTGTTCAAACCAATGCCATTATTTCCATTTCTATAAAGTACAATGTTATGCCATTCAAGTTAAACAAAGAAAAAAAAAGTTTCTGGTGTTCTGGCAAGACAATTCTTGAAACAATTTCCTTCTGGAGAGGTTTTCCTCTGCAGATTTGTAATATACAAAAACCTGGCCCAAAGGTTGGAGAATCAGGCTAACCGACGTGTAACCGACGTGTCTATTAATTAATAGTTAAAACTAAATGGTTCTATTTTTGTCTATAATCTCATATGATGAATAATAGCATGTCAGACCTGGTACCGTTTTGGGTAGACATCAAGGAGACAGTATGCGATTACAAGAAATATACTATAATTCACAGAAAGCACAGGTGTTTGATTTTTATCATTTCACATCTAATTTAATGCATCTCTAAAATCTGCATCTCTCAGATGTATTTGTAACTGCAGCTGAAACCCTTTCTAATGTCAAGCTGACAAACCTGGAATTTTCAGTTGTCATAGTGGCCAATTCCAAAAGCAATACAGTTCATCTGATTAACTGTATTATTTAAGTCTCCTTAGATATAACATCTACCAATCAGTATTACAAAGTACTTTTCCCAATATTTTACATCACTCAAATTTCTCAACAACACTGGGAGTTAGATTTTATTACTCAGATTTATAAATAAGGAAAATAGGGCATAAAAAATTGAATATCTAAGGTCATTAAACTACTAAGTGGTGCTGATAGGCTGAGAACCCAGTATCATCTGACCCCAGAATTCTTGCTTGACATCTCACCTAACAGCTTCCGGATGAACTCCTGAGCACTTCTAGGAGGCACCTTTAATGCCTTCAACTGTTAACACCAAACAAATAATTTAAGTTTGACTCAATCTTAGAAAAAAATATTTTTAAAGTAGAAGTTATTATCAATTACCATGTAAGAAATGAATTATCCTTTCTCTATACTACATCATATGTAGTAAATATAAAAACAAATCAAAAATCCCAAGTTTTTTAAATTCTTAAATTACATTTGTAATTTTTTAAACTAAATGCTTTAGGTCACATCATCTCTAGATCACTGTAGACATATCAAATAAGACTTTTTGAAAGAATAATCACTTAAACCACTTACACTTAGAAGTCCAAAATTGTATTTAAATATAGATGTAAATAATAATTTGATTTCTGACTTTTTATAGGGAGGCCAGAAACCTGCATGTTAACCCAAAATAGATTCATAGGAATCCTTTTTACTTCACTTTCATCAGATCCACCTTTGTTAACAATCTCTTCATGAAAGTCACAAAGGTTTATAACCAGCAGGAAACAAAGATTGGACCTTGAATACATCATCAACCAGAGAATCAAAAATTTTAAATTTCTAGTGGCCGGAATTTGCTACTAAATCTTTATTAATATACATTTGCTTTACATGCAGAGTCAGTGTGCCTTTTAATCTCTTTATAGGGAATGTCTCATCTGTAAATTGAACAAACATGTAGTCATAGTTCAAAGGTATAGGACACCAAGAGAACTATCTAGATGATTACACGATCTCCTCCAAAGGAACTTTAAAAAGTTAAAGTTTGGTTATTTGGGTAACTAAATAAGAGATGAGGGTAAGTGAATCTATATGAAAGTATTCCACTATTACATGAAAAAAAAAGACTATCCCAACTCGCACCCCCTTGCAAATTCATAGATGTCGATATTATGCATCAACAGCTCCTAAATCACAAAGAGGGAGAACTAGACATTATGTGCCACATCATCACCTAAAATGCTGCCTAATGGATCTAACCTAAATCTGACCCGGACAAGAGATACAGCTGCTGATTTGCAGGAAACGGAACAATGGAACACGTTGAATGGCACCATGATCACGCAATCTGCAAAGTTCTGACTGTGGGCGGCTCTACAGGTCAAAGGGATAAACCATAAAGTTAAAAAAAGACTTAAAAGATAGATATATAATTAAAACATATATTTATGTGTGTGGCAGGGAAATAGGGAGACTATACTGTCTCAGGGTGAACATTTGGCTGGTAAAACCATTAAAGAAGGAAGTGAAAATGATTACTATAAAAGTTAGGAGGATGGTTACTTATTAGGTGGTGGTGGTGGTGAAACAGCTGTAGCTGCAAGAGGGGAAGGTGCTTCTAAAGGTAGTAGCAAAATTCTTTCTTGACTTGGTGTTAGAAGGGTGTTCACTTTAGAATAATTCATTAGGGCAGACATTTCCTTTGTGTCATCTTCAGTTTCTGTGTTTTATAAAAGTTTCTGTGTTGATAAAAAGATTTTAAAAGAAAAAGTTTAGAGGGAGAGGTGAGTCCTACCCAAGAGCTGAAATATATTTTCTCCACATCAAGCTATTTACAAATGTATTGCATTTGGTTTCCTAGAAAAATATTTAGTTTAATTAGTTTAAAAAGAAAATAAATGCTTTTAAAAAAACCCACCCAAATCCTTTTTGGAGGATATTTCATGTTGTAATACAATTTTGAATTTTATTTAGATATTGTATCCTTTTTAAGAAGATAAGGCACAAGTAGTAGTAGACTGTATTTTGAGTGTTACAGAAAAGGTAAAATGGAATGATGAAAGCTAAGGAGCTTAGAAGTTTCTTGAAGCTTAATGGTTAAATTCCAATAATGGTCAAGAGAGTAATCCATAAACATTTCCCATTGAGATTTTGAGAGGGCATGCGCTCCCTCCCTTTCCCACCTACATGCCAGGACAATTTATCTCAGAATTTTGCGACTTTAAATGTCCATAGAGTGCTCAGCCAGAGATTCAAGTTTCAAGTAAACATCTGTAAACATAAATCCTATGGAGAGTCAGAATGGAGAAGTCAGAAAATATGGAAGTATGTTACCCTGGGCTTCAGCAGAGTCTGTTTGTAAACTGATCATTTGTTTATCTCTCATGACTCCTATTACGGTTTACAGACTCTGACCTTCCAATCCCATGGACCAGCTCTGACGGATCACATTGCCTCTGTGAACACACATCTCATTTTTCAACCCAATACTGAGAATGCTGGCAAGTTTTTTAACCTTACATGAGTTTTAAGTAAACTGCATTTGAAAAGAAAACAAATAGACAAGCCCCAAAATATGCATTCTTCAAACTAGGATTTGAACCAGTGAGCTTTAGGCTCTCAAAATGGACTCCAGTCAGTTACTGGGCCCACAGAACACCATGAGATTCTCTTACTTTGCTCAAATCACAGCTCCTCCTTTCCCCAAACTTTCAATAACTTAAAAAAGGCAAAAATCTGTTTTCCAAATCATGTAAGTCCTGGCTCCCTACCTCCATTCTCTGAGAAACTGTATAATGAGAAACAGATAAACAGTAAGATAAATGATGGGAACTAGGCAATTCAGAAAAGTTGCTTCTGCTTTTAATCGAGATCCCAAAGTGTTCTTGCTTGAGTTATGATGCCTACTTGAAAATAAGTCTGTTTGTGACTATACAAAGTATGTGAAAAAGGAAATATAAAAACATGAAGTGGTATCAGATTCATAAGAAAGTGTGGTATAGTGAAGTAAACATTGAAAAAAGAGCTGATGACCTCAGTTTGAGGCCACTCTGACACTTA